GTCTTATATACCACTCGCGAGTGTGTGGACACCAATCAAAGGCCAATCACACGCACCCACTCGCGAGTGATGAGTGGATCTAATCGTTTGGTGACTTACTGTAGAAGTATTTGCGACACAGACTGAGTCGGTCCTCTTCGGACATCTTTCGCAAGTCCATCGCCACCAATGGATTGCTAACGAGTGGTAATTGTGGTGATAATTAAGACTTAATTTGCGGATCAATTGGTTGTGAAAAACATTTTGTTTTCACAGGTTTTCAACACTATTATGACATTTAGTGGTAAACATAGGCCTTTGTACGCAAACACTGTTACATGCAATAAGGAGTGGGTTCTCTGTTTTGTATACGGTTTATACATAGAAACCTAGAGTACAGTATCGACATATTAACTGAATGTATGAAATATTTTGTAACACTATTTATGAGCAGCTGATTGAGTGGGTAAAGAACGTCAACCATAACTCTTGTCGTATATAACGTGCGGTAAAAGGAAGTGGAGAAGAATTATGATGAATATTCTTGTGGTAGTTATGAGATAATAGTTTAAAATTACTTTTTTAATGACCATGCTAAGTGCTAAATAGATTTCATCATAAATACCAACACTTTTGTTATCAGTTCACAAATAAAATAATTATTTTTTACCACTGATTATAGAAAACAATTCAAAACTCCTGTCGATTACAGTATTAATAGTTATAATCACTATTTTGGATCAACAACAACAATAACTATGACAAAAAGTACCAAGATATAAAAAACATTAATGCATTTATTGATTAAATGTCGAAATAAATGTCAACTAATAATATAATGGTATAAAACATTTCTCATAATCTCATTCAACAGATGATAAATCACTTTAAAAACACATACAAAACAAGACAAAAAGTTTTTTAAACTTTTCACTTAGTCTTGGAGTTGTCGATATTCCGGAGGAAGTGCCAACTCGACAGAGTGTAGGCCCACTCCGGCACAAACCAGTCGGTCAGGAAGTGCTGCAACCCGTGCGACCAATAGCCGGTCGTCTTACTGGCCCTCCCGATGGTGGCCACGGCGTTGGCCGTGAAGGTCTCGGCGCTCGGGAAGGCCAGCGATGGCTTCTGCAGCAGATCCGAGAAAGAGGTGAGTTTTGTGGAGATATACGATGGCATCAGAGTCTGCACTTCGATGTTATAGGACTTGTACTCCACTTCCAGAGTCTTGGAGAACCACTCGACAAACACCTCAAGTATTTGAGATCATAGTTAGGTATCAATTAAAACAGACATTTCTTAAGATAGACATACTTTGGAGGCGCTGTAGACACCCATCAGCGGTAGGGGCTTGTAGGCGGCTATGGAACTCATATTAATGACAAGCCCTCGCCGACGGGCTATCATCCCCGGTAGCACAGCCCGGGTCATCATGAGTACGGCGGCGATGTTAACCCTCACGTGTTGCCACACCTTGTCTTCGGGCTGATCCATGAAACGATTGGGCGAGTCGTACATAACCCCCGCGTTGTTAAACAATATACCGATGTCTCGATTGGTGCCATCGATATCAGTGGCGATCCTCTCGTACAGCGTCGGGTCATCGGAGTTCAGGTCCGCCACAATGGTTACCACGGATGTGATGGGCGACAGTTCGGTCTTAACCCGGGCTAACTTCACCTCATTTCGACCGATGAGTACGAGGGACAACCCACGTTTGGCGAGGGCTCGGGCGTACTCCAGACCTATGCCATCGGTGGCGCCGGTAATGACAGCCCACTCGCCGTACCGTTGCTTCAGATCTATTTTCCAGACCCGAGACCACAGATGGACACGAAATCCGGTGAAAGCCGTGGATAACAGGCTGAACACCACTCGCGTCGAGTATATTAGTCCTAATAGTGTGAACGTATCGATCACTACACGTAACTTGGGGTCGATGTCCCGGATGATTTGAAATATGAATCCCATGGTAGCCCAGTATCGCGATAGTCGTCCCCTTTGCTTCTTCTTGTACAAGACTTCAGCGACTGATTCGATGGACATCTCTATTAAATAGTCGATTAAATATAGTTTGAGAAATAAATAGGTCTCTGAGTTGTGTTAAGACAAGTTCAATATCAACGCCTATATGTGTCCCAAATATATGATCGTGGCTTAAATCATCACTGGTTTTGCTGTGTATGTGTGTTGGACTCAAAACACTGTTTTATTATTAGAAACCTATTTTGTGTCTCAGATTTTGCTTATTTCCCATCATTTCTGACACTAAACTCTTGGAAAACAGGTTTTTCGCTCCGGTATTACAGCTCTCGTAAGGTATATAATACTGTATAATACAGCAATCATTAAATGGTTTTAATGAAAAAACGACTTGAAATGACTTTTTGATAACACATCATTTACAAAAAGGCTAACTTTTTATTTCTTTTAACTCTTAAATAAATATAACTATTTTTCAAAAAGTGTTTTGAATAAGAATTGTGTCATTTCATTGTATTTTACTTTTTATTTCTCTCTACAAATACTTCAGTATAAAAAATAGTATTTTTATATAATTAACGCTATTATTAGCCAAAATGTTTAGGAAATCAGATTAGAGTCAGCTATTTATAAACCCAATTGTCTTTCACTCAAAACAAACATTTTAATCCTTTAAATGTTTGTCTCTCACAAAAACACATCACTTTTAAATCAAATTTAATATATTTTCTGATCAGTTGTGTCATTATGGCTGATAAAACAGACTTTAAACATTATTTATAAATTAAGTTAATGTACAGTATATTTATTCAATTAAGTATAAATAAACTTATTGTTAAGTCACTTACTTTTAATAGATTTGTTAACTGTATATAAATTTATTTTAATTAAAATTTACTATTTATTTACACTGTAGTGAGTACATACAATATTTACTAAAACTTAATCAATGTACTTTGTCTAAAGATTAGTTAACCTGATAAGTCAACTATCCCTTCATAGGATAGTTATTCACAAAAACATTATTCAATAGCAACTTGTATTTGAAAAGAGTATGAATAAGTCATTCAAATAAGTTTTGAATAGTTTCCAGACTTTTACTGTGAATTATTTTCTACATCCATGTAATGGTTTTGTATTATAATTTAGCCTTTTTTACACTCATTATATAATCACTACTATTTGTGTCACTTAATTACAAATGAATGTAATATTAATAGTATTTTGTCTCAATTGTAAGTTTGCATACATTTGTCGTTTTTAATGAATAAAATTCAATTGAAATCAAATAAAAGTTTGATTTTTATCTCAAAATGTTGTTATTATTAATAAATAATTGAGTGTTGAATACAATAAAAAACAATTCAAACATTAAATCACTTAAAATACAAATCCATACAAATCACAACCGATTCGCACGGATCTAATGGTATGTCTCTTATGGTAGGGTAGGTCTTAGGGTATGCCTCGCGGGATATTAAAGGACAGGTAGTCGCCGGTCGCCTCCCACTCGGCCCTCTTCAGCTGAAACGTCGTGATCCACGCGACCAGAGCCACGATCCACACCAGGGATCCGATCATCGAGTATATGACATATCGTTGGATAGGCTTCCGGTCGGAGGAGGGGTCCGGCGCTCCCATGAAGGCGCTCCTGAAGAACCACACGCTGTTCACCACCCATAGGAACGGTAGGCATAGGAAGCCAACTGTCCATCACGTGAGAGATAAGTGTCACTCAATTGTCTTATAGTCTTATATACCACTCGCGAGTGTGTGGACACCAATCAAAGGCCAATCACACGCACCCACTCGCGAGTGATGAGTGGATCTAATCGTTTGGTGACTTACTGTAGAAGTATTTGCGACACAGACTGAG